TATTCCATTCATAAGTTATAAATAACAGTTTGATCTCATAAAATCGAGTTAATTACCAACTAATTAAGATTGTATAGTCATATAAATAGTTCTGTATTATTGAAAATATATATTTATATTAATTTGTATGTTGTTTTTATTTCACTAGGTTCATTTCTTACACTTCTTCTCTTTACTTCGCTAAGTACTGCTGTGGCTCGAACGACCGAATCAAAACCATCATTACCAACTTATAGAGACTTGCAAGCTAAATATTCAAAATCACTCAGATGTCCATGTTCCCAGGTGACAATACCTCATCGCAAATTCGTTTCATTATCACCAGTCTTACATCAAGTGTGTAAAAGTGATTTTGTGACAGAAGAATGGCTTTTATTAATGAAAAGTATCAGAACTAGACGTAGTGATGTCGATTGGCGTAATAGAGCTTTCTCACAATTTCATTTATTATCTGAGCTTTGTAAGCTGGCTAATAAAACGATCGATGACGCTAGGCATCGCTTTCTTTCACAACCATTCATTGTTTCAAATGTATTGCCAGAAATTGATTTTGAAAAACAATTAAATCTAACTCTTGAACAATTTTTTCAATCGACAATTGATTATTTTGGTCTTCTTATCAAAACAGTACAAATTCTTATACAAATCGATCAACCCTATTCTGGACCGATTGGAGCGTATACCGTACGTGATGAAGACGAAAATCCAGTCGGAGTTTACACAAAAAATGAAACAAATGGACGAATTAAAATACAGGTATTGTAGAAATATTTATTTTTCTTTCTATACGAATGATTCTAGGTTATATTAGTTAAGTTTAATAAAAAAAGGAATGAATGGGAGAAGGCAGAAAGAAAAAATGTCGGAAACAAGAGTATAGATAAAGATAAATAGATAAGCTTGAAGATGAGAGCGAGGTAGATTTATATGTCAATATACTTTCATTTTCAGGATTTCTATCCATCTACATTTGGATTTCTTTTGTTTTCGATATTTTTCCTTTCTGCCTTTTACCATCATGCCTTACAGTTGACTGACGATCAGGTGTAAATCTGTACTTTATTTTTAGGTGGAATTTCAATTGACTGGACCGCGTAATGCGAAACCAATACCTACCACCTGTATCTGTGCTTTTGATACTTATTGTCAAACTAGAACTGGAATTTACGATGTTGAATCGAACATAATGTCCCATGTAACTTATATCAGTCGTTATATTATAGCAGGCTTGATTACAGGTTGTTCAGTTACAGATTCTCTTCTGCGTTCCACACTTGAGTGTTACTATTCAAACTCAAAGTGCTTACAGACTTTAATGAATTATAGTAAACAGACATATATTATTAATGCTGAAAATGTACCATGGGTTGATGTCCACTCTCTGGTGTATAAGACAACACTCAGTCGTTTCCGTCTTAAGGCTCCAATTTCAGAAATAGTTCAAAACATCATGATTGAACAATGGAATTCATCAATTTCATACAATCAATTTTATGAATCATGTGCACCAACTTATTGTACTTATTCTCAACGAATTAACAAAAAAGATATTGTTGAAACAATAATAACGGTACTATCTTTGATTGGTGGTCTTATTTTCTCATTACGACTAATTGTACCTCGACTGGTTAACTTTCTATTTGATTTATTGTCAAAGTTCGGCAAGAAACCAAATCAACAGCAAGGTAATTATTATTTAGATATTTATCAAATAGGTTCAAAAAGAGTGATAAGGACACATGTTTCTTAATTTGAGTTAATTATTATAACAAGTGGTTTAGTTTCATAGATGGATAAACTATCAATTCACTAAAACTTACAACACTTGAGATCGAAAATCATACTCATTCATTCATACACAAACTCTAATAGGAATTCATATATGCTCTTAGATTAGTATAGAATCATTATTTTCGAAATTCTTATGTTGAATGTAGTTGAACAAAATGCTTTTAATTCAGTGGAAAATTGATAAAATTAGTAAAAATATCAACTAAATACTAATATAGATTGATAGAAATCTTTCAAAATTTTAGTTCGTGCCAAAAGATCCCTTCGATCAAAAGGAATTATGAAAAGACTGATATCATATGTATACACTACTCTGACCAATCTAAATATTTTCTTGATACGAGATTTTGGCAGTAATATTGATCGAAGGAAAGCTAAACGTCTTGGTCAGTGGGCTACTCGTCTATATTTGGTTTCGTTTGCTGTTGGTCTCGTTATTCTCACTCTTCATACTATCATTCGACCTCAAAAATTCACAAAAGATTTTGATGGACCATCTCTTGATTTGTATACAAAACTTTTTAAACGGTATGGAACTCAACTGAAATGTCCATGTTCATCAATCGCATCGACATATAATCAATTTATGAATATTGAAGCAAGATTTCATGAGGTAAATACAAACTAGTGATTCTTCAGGAACTGAGTTCAACCCGAAAATTTATTAAAGCATCTTGAGGGTGTGGGTGGGTGATGAATTAGAAGAATACATACATTCACCCAACATCCACACCCTCAAGATTTTTTTGAGAATACCATTCACCCTTGGAGAATTCTATAGGGAAGAGATTTTTTTCTTCTCATCTTTTATATTTAATATAGATCTGTTCAAGTCCATTCGCTTCAATAGAGGGAAGACTTAATCTCACATTTGATGTCGTTGCTAACTTATCTATGTACAACGGGAGAGATTATCGTCGCTTTCTCTCTGCTCATTTGCAATTTCTTGAAGGATTGTGTCAACTTTCTGAGAAAACAGTGTATATTTTTACTCGACAATTTCTTTCGTCACTGTTTGTTACAAATGAACTTCTATCAGAAATGAATTTTCATCGACGTCTTAATTTGACAATTGATCAGAGTAAATTAAATGTTCCAACAACATTAACTCATCTGCTCTATTTAATTCGAATGATAAATAATGGAAATGCTTTTATATCAACTTATGGGACAAATTTCGAGTACATTCATCCATGGGAGGACATATACAACACTTATACACCTACTCAAGCTATGATTTATGATAATAATTGTTCATGTGGATTATATTCAAATTGTAATACTCAAGCAACTTTTATTCTTACAAATCCGACAAAGATCATTCCAATCAAGGGTCTGAGAATAGGTTGTACTCCAAGTGAATCATTTCGTGCTTCAACTCTTGAATGTTTTTACAATGAATCATGTATTAATCTCATTACACAATATACGATTAAGGCAAATCGAATCAATAATACAAGTGTGTTCGAACCTCTTTCAACAAAGAACATTAGCTTTTCCATAAATACTCCTATAGCTAAACTTATCGATAATCTGTTTATTACAGATTGGAATATAAAAATGAATTATACATCTTATTTTGAACAATGTTTCCCTTTATCATGTTCATATAATAATATTCAACGATTCAATGTATTTCATATAATAGCTACTCTACTTGGTCTACAAGGTGGTCTTGCGCTGGTTCTTGAATGGATCTGTCCTAAAATAATCCGAATTATAGTCAAAATATATGAATATCGAAAGAAGCGTAGAAATGTTGTTCAACCTGTTTTTACTGTTGAAACAATGCCGATTGAAAATATTGAGAATTCTGTTTCGATTTTAGAATTAACACCAACGAATGAAACATTTCAGTGAGTCATTTTAATTACATTTATTTTATAATCTACATTATTCCTTTCTTAGAACAAATTCAACCTCAAACGTCCGATGTTCATTTAAGTTTGCCGCAATATGTATGCTGTTGTTGTTTATAGTAGAAGGCCTGGTTTTATTTTCTATAAATCTTGTTCGAACAGAAAACAATCAAGTATCGTCTACAGGTATGGTTTTTAAAAACATTGAGAAAGTGAATGAATAATAAAACGAAATATTTAAAAAATCAGAACAGATAAATGTAATTCTATTACACATATAACATCCACATTTATCTATATCTTTATTTTGATATTTCTGTCAGTATAATTTCTTGATTTATTGTTTGTTAAATATTTTTTTAATAGTTTCTTCAACAACTAGTATTATCACGGACTCAACGGTAAATGTGATAACCAATACTACAATGGTACCGACAACGACATCAAAACGTAGTGAGTAAATTAACAACATATCAATTGATAAATAAATTTCAGATAGTTTGTCATTTATTAGATGAGATGTTAGAACATGAAATATTAAGAGAAATATATTTATTTTAACTTTTTATTTACCAGAAATTTATTTCATCAGTATTAGTTGATCAATTTCGATCTATTCTGATAATTTTACATTTCAACGGTTCTATTATCGATCTAATTAACTTTAATATTTTATATCTTGATCAAATAGATTGAATCATAGCTAGAGAATAGAACATCGTTTGGATGTGTATAATAATTACTCCTATGTAATATATGACTCATAAAACTGAGGAGTTCAAAGGCTTCATAATTTCTCTTTGTATTTGTTCGTTTCTTTCTTTCTTTTAGCCGAATTTGGTTGCTCGTTAAAATATGAGCGAGTATCAAGTGCCATAGGTACTTTTCAGTCTCGTATAAACCTACCTGTTATTGCTGATTTCAACGGAGATAATCTGTTCGATATCGCTTTTGGTAGTTACGACATGAACGGTATGAGTGTGATACTAGGATCTGGAAATGGATCTTTTAAATCACATATGATATCTATACGTAATCAGCTTCCTGATATCAGCAAGATGATTGTTGGTGATTTCGACAATGACAACCATCTGGATCTTGCTGTTCAATCAAAATGGTTTGGAACTATACACATTCTACTTGCATATGGTGACGGGACTTTTCGAATGCACTTCAATAAACGATTTTGTACCTTAAACTCATTAGATTTCGCTTTAATTCACGTCGACAATGACACGTATTTAGATATGGTTGTTGTATGTTCAGTTGTCAATGCTATTGGAGTGTATTTTGGAAATGGTAGAGGAGAGTATTTTATACATTCCCTAACACTTTTTGCTAATGATAATAGTTATCCGCTGAGAGTTGCTGTTGCTGATTTCAACTGTGATAATTTTAAAGATATTGCTGTCTTAAATCATTATGGTCAAAATATTGGTATATTTATAAATGATGGTGCTAGAAACTTTAAAGCACAAATAACGTCTTTTACTCGTAAAGAGAAGTTTCCATCTTATTTTGCAATAGGTGATTTCAATAATGATACTCTACCAGATGTTGCTGTCTCCTATAATTGCAGTAATTTCATTGACGTCATATTCGGATTTGGTAATGGAAGTCTAGGTAATAGTACAATGTTTCAAATAGGAGAAGAACAAGTAGTTGATCAGATTATTGTTGATGATTTCAATGCCGATGGTAATCTAGACATTGGTTTTGGTAAGACTGGTCAAACAATAAATCTATTAATTGGGGATGGTCATAGAAATTTCACATTACAAACAGCATTCCCGATTAGGTTTAGTGGTGCACTTGCATGGACCGGTGTTGGTGATTTCAATGGTGATGGTTTTGTCGATATTATCAATGTAGACCTGAATTCTACATCACAAGATGTATTTTTAAATGTATGTAAATAATGTAAAACTATGATTTTCGGACAATGATCTTTATCTGAATCAATGCTTTTTATTTGATGCCTTTCTAGAAATATAATAGCCATAGACATTCTTGCAATAACTTAAAACCGAAAAAAATTAAAGAGTTATAGTTTTCACCAATCGGAATACTTCTTAACACCGAAGCATCGTTACCTCTATTACTATATAATATAGTAGATAATCATAGTTTTCTAGCTCTTTGTGTTCTAGAACCATTGTATTTTGCGAAAGACATTAGTTATTTTTTTTTGTATAATAAACGCTTACATTATATAAATATAAAATAAAGAGAAGATACTTATCTTAAAGAATTTAGGTGAATTGGACGATTTCTTTTTCACTTTTTATGACTTATTCTATGATTCTTATTTTTTCTTGATATCATTCTTTCTTGTACGTTGTATACAAAGAGTATTGATTATGAGAATACACTTGAACAGAAGTGAATCCTTCAGTATTTATCGTTATATTCTGTTTTATTTTATCAAGAAAATGACTAGTAATCAATTATCTGATAAACTTCGGCAAAAATAGTTCTTTTAATGATATTTAATCAATTACAAATTGCAAATAATTCAACACTTGATGTTTATTATCAGAGATATACTTCCACCTGAAGAATAACATTTTGTCTATTTTAAACAACATTTCGAACTTAATTTAGACACTTGTAAATACACACTTAAGATCAGTTATGAATGTGACTTGATCTACATTTACAGTTTTATATAAAAAAAAATTCAGTTTCTGATTTTCGTATTATCTATGATTGTGATAAAAAAATGATTGAATGACTATAATAGCAAAACAGTGCTTACTGCTATTATTCGCATTCGAGATCAATAGTATATATCCATTTTGGTAACAAAATAACACCTATTTTTCTTTTTTTTAGGAAGTTTACGGTCAACTTTATACTCAATAATTGGAGAATACAGAAACATTTTAAATAGTTAATCATTTTTAATTTACTTTCATATAAAGCGTTCTTCTGAGTTTACGTGACAAATGTCTCGAGTGAACCTTTCGTGATACCGTTAATTATGAAATAGTAACTATATGTTTATGAATCGATTATTTTGTTAGACCTATATGATATAGAATTAAATATTCACTAAAGATGAATAAATAAATCTATGCTTGAATATATTATGTTCAATCTAAATTGATAAAACATCATTTAAGAGAAAAACCTCTTAATATAAACAGTTTTCAATATAAAACATGATTTCTTACAAGATTTTGTGACAAATAAATTCTAAAATATTTTATACCAATCAAAATCTATCCTTAGAATAAGGTGACGAAGAAAATGCCGGTTAACAAAAAAAAAATAAAAAAGGATCTAATTTATCATTTAATACAATTCAATCTCATCATTGAATTTTAGTAAAGACATTCTAAATTCGATAGGAAAACGGTTTCTTTTCTTCACTAATCTACATACCTTTAATATGTATTACATGAAAGCGCACATTCTTTAGAAAAAAAAATAAACTGATTTTTTAGATATTTGTTTTTTCGTAGCGGTGCTTGTTATTGTTGAATTTTTATTTGAAATAACTGCAAATGTTATCAAACAATATTTGACAACATGTGATAAATATGATGCCAACTGTTACCATCTTTTTGTCTGACTGAATTGTAATTACTTTATAAAAAGAAAGGTCAATCGTTTGTACTTTTACTGATATGTGTAATAAGAGCAAAAAATAGAACATAGATTTCTTCATTAATATTGATAAAATATTTGGCAACATGTGATAAATATTATGCCAGCTGTGATCATCTCTTTGTCTGACTGGATTGTAACTACTTTATAAAAAGAAAGGTTAATCGTATGCACTTTTACTGATACTGTCATGAGAGCAAAAAATAGCAAATAGATTTGTTTACTAATATTGATAGAATATTTAACAACATATGATAATCATTATGCCAGATGTGACCATCTCTTTGTCTGACTGGATTGTAATTACTTTATAAAAAGAAGGTCAATCGTATGTACTTTTACTGATGCTCTAATAAAAGCAAAAAATAGCAAATAGATTTGTTTACTAATATTGATGGAATATTTGATGAATGGGCGCATCTGTTGTTTTAGAAAAACTATTCATTTCAGGACAAATTTAACGATAATAATAGACTCTTTCAAATCTCATGTAACTATATAAGGATGTGGAAAAACCACAGCAATTACTTATTTTCTATTTGATTCATCTGATCTTTTTGTTCATCAACAAAGAATGTTTTCATATTGCTTCACATTTGTGGCGACTGTTGCTGTACTCAGTACCGTGATTGTTCATGCTGCTTCTGGAAGTAAGTGTACATCTTCAATTTATATTTGTTAATTACTTCATGTTTTTATAATGAGTTAATTTGTTACCATCAAACGCAATAATCAATTGCGAACGTTTCTTATTTTTAAAACCCTAAATTTATCATCAATCACATTTCGCTCACGATATAGGTTATTATTATGTTGGTTTAACCATTTTTTCTGTGATAAAATATGTTCGTTCTAGTATTTATCAAAAACAGTACGCCTCGATCTTTCATGAAAACAACTAGGATATCCGAGACTAAGAATAAACTCGACGTGATCTATCATTTTAGAAGTAGTAAAAAAGTATTTAAATTACAAGCCACCACCTCCCTTGGAACATTGAACCTATAAACACATCCGAGATACACATTTGTTTCGAAAATGACCTTATTAATCACAATTCTTCCTTCACTATAAGTGTCAATTTCTTTTTGAAACTTATTTACTACCCTGATTCCGCTATAAGACATGCACATAATACAACATGACTATTTTTTTTTTCAGCATTGATCGCAATACCTACCATTGCTTCACACACTTGTTCATCGACAGGTCCAGATAGAATTACAGGCTCACTCTGTATTTCCAAAGCAGATTTCGCATTACTGTCAGCACAAAAGGAGTCTTTTGAATCGTGTTTTACCAATCAGTTGCGATTATCGTCATCTTTGAATATTGGAGCAATTTTCCAGGTGCACGGATTTGAACAGTTAGCCAATGGTGACTGTCAAGTATCATACGGATGCTCAGGAGTCGGCCATCAACCTTCAGCTCTAACTTGTTTGAAAGCTACACCAGATTGTGATGATTTCAAAACCATCCTTGGAAAGTGTTGTCATTCTTCCGGTGCAATAGGTGGTGGATTAGGCATTGGTCTTCAAGCTGGAGGCGGTCTCCTAGGTGGTTTACTGAACCTCGGTTCGTCTTTAATAGGCGGTTTGTTAGCAGCAGTTTCCTCCCATACATGCTTAGCTACAGGTCCAGACGCAATTACAGGCTCACTCTGTATTTCCAATGCAGATTTCGAATTACTGTCAGCACAACAGGATTCTTTTGAATCATGTTTCACCAGCCAGTTACAAGCATCGTCACCTTTGAATAATAAAGCAACATGGAAGGTGCAAAAATGCGAAAAGTTAGCCAATGGTGACTGTCAGGTATCATACACATGTTCTGGAGTCGGCCATCAACCTTCAGCTCAAACTTGTTTGAAAGCAACACCAAACTGTGATGCGTTCAAAACCATCCTTGGAAAGTGTTGTCACTCTCACGGTGGTAAATAAAATGATAGCAAGCATACTGAAGAAAGGACACATAAAGTTGTGAAGGTATAAAGAATATATTTCGTGTGTTTAAACTGCGTTTTCCTTTTTTCTTCTATATGTTCTACTATTCTATGAAGATGTCTCCTAGATTCTCTTTCCTTCATTGCATTCATGTGTTCGTTTTGATTTAGCTGGAATTTCATTTTTTTGGTCTATAGGGTTTTTCCAGTTCATTATATATGCACATCCGTGATTCTTTTGGAATAAAAATGGTGATGGGTAATATAGACAAGAATCATCTCACTAAAGTAAATAGTCAAGCTTCGGGGACAATGAAGAAAGTAATTGAAATATCGAATGTGTGTAAGAAACGTTCTCCATGTTTTGTGATACTTGACAGTTCTTGAACAGAAAAAACACTATATTACATTATCAAAATGGTAAATTCATGCTATAATATAACGATCATTTCGATCGATAAAGGTAATGTTTCGAAATCTTAAACTTTGTGTACCATCATCATGAATAATAGAGGGTGCGTTAAAACATTAATTTGTTCTTACAGAAATAGTCCTCAGAGTAAATTGATACATATAAAATCCTCCTGGAATTTTCTTTCTTTTTTCTTTAGTGTCTAGGCATACGTACAAAAAATGTCCTATTGTATGTTACGATGATCTTGGGAATAGAACATCCGAAATTCTCAGTTTAAACATGAGAATGTAAAAGTTTTTAGACGATCCTTAATGTTGAGATAAGTAAAACAAGATGAATTAGTATCCGCTGTATATTGACAGTATACAAAATTTTTTAACTCCATCCTAGAATAACGGCGAATGTTGAGAGATCTGTAAAAACATTTAAATCATCATTTCGCACTCGAGTGAAACTCAGACATCATCTAGTCTTCTCAAAAGATAATATATTCATTCTTATCCTCAAGATCTTTTTCCATTAGATAGAAGATTATTTTTTAATCATATAATTAAAACGTGTCTCGTTTTGTAGCTTCATATTTTCAGTAATTACAAAATTTAAGTAAGTCTCTATAATCTCTTATATTATTTGATGTTTATTTAATTGAAGAGTTTTTTTTCTATTAAAAACAATCAAATACACTTTATTTGCACTTATCATCAACGAATCAAATAAACTAATTTCGGCATTTAATCTTTTATTTCAATATCTAATCGATATCTATAATATTAACAGATACATATTTATAAATCTTTATTAAAGATTACAAAAAACATCATATGTTAATGATCTTTTACATACAAAATACATCATCAATATATAGTTTAGATGATGCATTCATTCAATAATATTACAGGCGAAGAGGATTTTAATTAACTATTATCTAAATCTGTTAGATAGTGTAAAATTATCAATGTCGTCAAATACAACTCTTATTAATTATTTAAATCATCTTTCATCTGATCTTGATCGTTATCTATCTATTGGTATTCTTCTACTTGGTACTATTGGAAATATTCTAAATTGTCTTGCATTATCACAACAACCTCTTCGCTCAAATCCATGTGTCTTCTTCTTTCTTACTTCATCCATTGCTAGTATTATTACTCTCATCTCTGGTGTTTTGGTTCGTTTATTATCTGGTTGGTCAGCAGACCTAACAAATACTATTAGTTGACTTTGTAAAGTTCGTGTATATATATTATTTAATTCAAGAACAATTGCTTCATGGTTGATTATGTGAGCTACTTGCGATCGATGGTTATCATCATCTATTCATGCACATTATCGTCAAATGAGTACACTAAAAAATGTTCAACGAAATATAATTGCTGCTATATTTTTATCAAGTGTTGCATATGGTCAAATATTTTATTGTTATGAAGCTAATTTAACCAATACTCCACTTCAATGTAATGGAAAAAGTACTTGGTGTCAATTATTAATTGATTTAGAATTTGTTTCTATTACTGTTTTAATTCCTTCAATGATGATACTCATTTTCGGATTTCTGACAATTTTAAATATACATAAAGTCACTCTTCGTCAAATTCAACTTATAACTAAATCAGGGAACGTTCAAATAATATTAATCTATTATTTTTATTAACTTATGTAACTAATGGAATACCATTTTATATTTACACATTAAGTGGTGGAACTATTTTTCGAAAAGCACTACGTGATTTCGCATTCGATTAAGCTTCTCATAATTTATTTCATTGATATTCTATAAAGACTCGATGAATACTGTAGAATAAATACACTTTGAGTTTATTTCTGCTTGTATATATTTTAAAAATTTAACTATAAGACAAACAATAAGCACATATAACATAAAAATCGTTGACTACTATTTTGTTTCGATTATTTCCTCAACATCGTCTAATAGAAGTGTAAGTTCAGTTAGTTCGACAAGTGAATCAATATTATCAACATGTGTACTAATAGTTTGTACATGGATTATAGACGTAGTACAAGCCATAAGCCAATATATGATATTATAAAAATGTTTAACCGCTTCATACCAACCATATCTATAGTTAAGATATTTCCATGTAACTTCTGCATATTTATTTTGAATATGAAATATTGTAGAAGAGTCTGTTGACTCTATTGAAATATTTGGCGAATATAAATAATTCGTTTTTGATAAAGCAAATAATGAAAGTGCTAATTTAAATATTATAATATCTGGATTAATAAATTTCATTGTCCATAAAGTAAGAGAAAGTGCACGATTGTCAAACATTGTTGATATAATTTTAAAAAAAGAATCTAGATTAAATAAATTAAAATGATGTGGAATAAATGTAGAAGCCATGCAAGATACATTATTTGCAGCATTACGAAGTAAAATGGAACGATCATTAAATGATAATTTACAAATATCATCATTCAAACAAAGATATCTTCCTGTTGTTTCATAAACAGATAAGAAATAATTTTGTATAAGCCCTTGATATGTTACATTTATTGGCTGTAAAGAATCATGTGTATCTACCAAAGATTTACCAAGAAACGAAAGTTGAGATTCATCAAAAGTATTATATAAATTTGAGAGAAGTGTCCATTGACTAGTAGTCAATAATGAATGATCTGGTTTTAAAGAATTTAATATTGATAACTAAAAAATAAATAAGAAGAATAGTTCGTAAATTTAAATTATCTTACTTTTTCTAATTGATACCGTGGTTCTATTTTAACTAATGATTTTGTTTTTGATTTCGTCGGTCTTGATGGCCGAAATTTGTCAGTAGTCATTCCATATTGAAAACATTTCTTAAGTCGACATGATGCACACATATGATGTTTATCTCGTTTTATTTCACAATAGCCATCAAAATTACATTTAAATACTTTCTAAATCAAACGAACAATTTTTACTTGAAAAAAAAGATAATTAAAACTAACTTGTTCAGTATTAGCATTTCGTTTAAAAAACATTTTACATGAATTACATGAAATAGCGCCAAAATATGCATATTGAGCAGGAGCGCCACATATTCGACATTCCGATAAATTTTGTTTTTTTGTTAATGGTTCAGTTTTAATTGTCAATGGAAGATTTAACGTTGTATTTGTAGTTAACATTTTTATTTGTATTCTAAAAAGATGATATGATATTAAATTGAATATGTTTAGATTATTATATAATAGCTAGGAGAAGAAAACACAACTTGTTTATATAGAAGAAAAAAAAATACTATTGACGCGACGTGTTGTTACTCTTACGTTCTATACAGAACGAAAAAATGTTTGTTTCATTCCATGATTTATTCTCCGCATGCTTGTGTTTTTTTTTCTAACAGAAACGACAAAATTAGCGTTTTTTACTTTCTTCATTTATTTTCTCGTCCTTTCTCTTAAGCTTTGCATTTTATATATCGGAAAAGTCTCTTCACTATCAGTACAGAACGTTCAACATAAACTGATCCGTTTAACTATATAACCTCATTTTTTTATATAAATTCATGAAAGACAATAATAGAAAATATAATTAAAATATCATAAGCGAGTATATAGCTTAACCTTCATAGTTGATATTATACACCTATAGGCAATATATTTATGAATAATATTCTTCTATAATTATAAATGACACTTATGGAAATAGAAAACTACAACAAATTCATTTATGAGTGTTCAATAAATAATTATTTATCGATTCTACTATATATACTTTTTGTTATTTCATCATTATTAAGCCAAGTGAAGAGGGAAATAGTGAGACGTTAAGAGTGTGTACTTCAAAAAACGTTTTAAAATAGATGAAGATTCGCTTTGTCTCTATTGATGAAAGTTCATTTTATAGTGCAAATATTTTTCAAGAGCTCAATTCATCAAATGAATTATTTTTAGATAAACAAATTTTGACTCTCTATTTTATAATATCATCTATTCTTTAAAAATTCAAAATGTTAGAGAAAATGATGTAATTATCATGATTTGATCTTTATTCTTTGAAACTTAGTTCGAACTAGAGAAGTACGATGATCATTTAGTCAAAAACGGATAGAATTCGACACGTTTCACTAGTGATTAATTTTCAATATTTTAATAAAATCTTCTTATACTAATTACATTTTGCCATACTTAAAAAAATTAAATATAATGTTTATTTATGTATATAGTCAAGAATTATTGAATGACAAATAACTTCAGGATTTAACAAATTATTATTCAACTAGCTATGATGATTGAAAAGCTGGACAACGACTTTATCCGACGCACTTAAATTCATTCTGGAAAACAATTTTCACGTAGCATTGCCATCTATGAATAAATTATATAAAATTCTCTGGACTATATTAGTGAATTCGTCTGAATGTAAACGAAGTTAATCGTCGTTAAGAAGATTAAAAATTTATTTAAGAAATAGTATGGGACAAGAAAGATTGTTAGACGTTGCCCTTTTGAATATTCAAAAAGATTTTTAAATTAATATAGATCAAATAGATTACATTAGAAAAAGACTACTTCGTTTGTAGCGTGAATGTAGATAGTAGATACATAGTTTTCTTATAAAGATGAAAGCAGTTTCTTTTTATCATAGTAAAGTATTTGAGCCGCTGGCCCGCTACTGCTGCCACTCATTTCATTTTTTTATAAATGTAATGAATCCTTTCATGACTAAGGAAACAGCACATGTATCATCATAATTTATAAAGAAAAATAGTAAAATTTGAATCACGAACTCGGGTGTTCTGAATCAGATGCTTTTACATGAAAAGACAATTTTTAATTTTCACAATATGTTCATTATTACATATCTTTGCACCATCGAAACATTCATTCATAGACAACTCATACTTAAAATCAGTATTGTTGTTGTTGTGTTGTGTTATGATATTCACGTAATTTGATGATATTACAGTGTGTGTGTGTGTACTAGAACGTAAGAATCATTATTCTTCATCAAAAGGTGTATCAAATGACATTTACCCTTTGAGAGTTGTAGTCACATGGTGAATATGAAATTATATTTAGATGTTTTCGACACTATCAAACAAAAATCAAAGGAAAGACATTGATAATAAGTGTGAATTTCTTATTTTTGTTGTATTGCATGAAGAGTAATAAAGCATTACTTATTTCTTCCCATATGTTTCTCTATCACATGTGCATGTCAGACATTGTCACGTGAGGATAGTAATAAATTGTTTTTGTCTAATGAAAACAAGTTTCTTCGTTCCTCTACCTCTCTATATATATACACATCTTTTCTCATAGTTTCACAAAGCAGTTCTCATCGTACTTCAGTTTCATTTCACTTCACATTATTACTATTAATATGCCAGCCTGTTGTCGTTCATCATGTTGTGGATGCGGTTGTGGTTGTGGTTGTTGCAACAGTCCTTGCTGTAATTCATGCTGTAGTTCATGCTGTGATCCATGTTGTGATCCTTGTTGTGGTTCTTGCTGTGGCTCTTGCTGTGATCCTTGCTGTGATTCATGCTGTGGTCCTTGTTGTTGTGGTCCACGATGTTGTGTACGTACCACTGTGTGCTGCTGCAAACCAGTTTGTAAAGTTATCAGAAAGAAAACCGTCACCGTTAAAAAATCATGCACCAAAGTTTGCTGTTGCTAAATTAACATTTTTGTTCTTTTTCTATGAACTGATTCAGTATCTAATGTATCAATATTAGAGTACTCTCTAACAACATTCGTATTACTCTTTATTTTTCTTATTTTGCTTTATATTTTTGTTTACTTCCTTGCAGAGTTAGGAAGAAGATGAATTACATCATCATCTTTGTTTTTATACGCTTTGACAAGAAGGAAGAGGGATACATTTAGATCATTCTCTCTTTCTCACTTGCATGTGCCCGGAAAAGATGGGTATGAATAGCTAATTTTTTAAAATAAGATCATTTAGTGGATAAGGAAAATATTCTTCTCTTCATTCGATCAATTCAATTGCGAAATGACCTTTTAATAATAAAGAGAAAACTTTCTTTTTTTAAATTGTTTATGCATCTGGTTTCTGTAAGAGCCAACGGTGGGTGTGTAGTTGTAAGGCACTTGTCTTGCCATCGCTCACACTCACCCCCGAAGACAAATATTCATATAGAAGATCCCAAATGGCTGACAAATTTTGTGGCATATTGAATAGAAAAGGATTTGTTGTATACCTCGTCTTCAAATGAATTTTATATTAATGTGATGGGAAAATCAAACTGTCAAAATGATAGAATTTGAGAAAAAAATATAGAAGATATCAACATCGATGGAAGGTATTGTAAGTTAGTTCAGGGTGCAAGAGACACCAGAGTTGTTGTCATATTTACTGCAACAATACTGGCAATCCTGTGATGGAATCTACTTTCACGAAATTTTTCTTTAACAGCATATGATTCTATTTCTTCGGATAAGATGCCCTGTATGAAGGCAAATGTTACAAAACATCTTTTGGAGAATGAGGATGTGAAGTTCTCAGACGATTTTATTTCGCCCAGCAACAGTTCTGACATGGACTTAGCAGAAATATTGATGCAATTATTAAAGATAAAGTTGAAAAATTGATGGCAAGTGAGGATCATCGAAACAGATACCATTGTGAAATTCTCAGAACTAATCTTGAGAATACACTCAGGGATCTTAAAAATGATACACATCTTTTTATTGATCGCCTGTGCTCAGTGATGAAAATATTTCATATTCCCAAAGCTGCTGGACAAGTCGCTCAAATTTCTGAAAGTTTCTCATACATGTTTCTTTGTGAGCAATTTATAATGCTCATATACTGAAAACTCTATGATTTACGATTTAATTCGGTAAGTAATATGATAGTTTTTTTGTAGATTAGAGATTATATAATCTATTACATTTTGATACGTAATACAAGATATTTTAATAGTCTTGTAGACAACTTTTGTTCTAATTCCACTCATAGATGCAGTTTTTGACAGACTTTGATTTGAAATAAAATACTTAATCAGATTATTTATTTATTAGGTTGTAAAGGAGGAGGAGCGCGTAAAAGTTATGTAAAAGCATGTATATATATATAAGCAAAATAGACAGAAGAAGAATGTATGCGAAGGTAAGTGAAAGATGATGTAAAAAAAAGAGATCAAGCGTGATGGGTACAACTGCAAAAAGAAAACGGTAAATGAGGTCACAATACGAATAGCAGTGTAGCAAATTAACAGTTTATGTGCTAGCACAGATCATAACAACATCATTAAATGTATGCTCAAACCAACTATGAGTTTATTCGAAGCTGAATATAAATATACGTTGCTGATTCTGAAGAATTTAATATAGTTCTGCACTGGATGTAGGTAATCCTTGCTCTTCTGTACCAGTAACTAATACTGTTCCATTTGGTAAAACAGATGACTGATGTTGATATCTCTTATAGTTCATATCACCAGTCATATACCATATCTTTGTTAATGGATCATATACCTCTGAACTACTCATATAATAAAACATATATGCACGTCCACCACACACTAATACACTTCCATTGATTAAAACGGATGCAGCATGACCCGTTCTTCCATTATTTAAAGATCCGGTAATTGTCCAATTTCCTGTTTCTGAATCATACAACTCCGCACTTGTCATACATGTATCACCTGGAGACGCACCTGTCATACATGTATCACCTAGAGACGCACCAGCAACTAATACCTTTCCATTGGCTAAGACTGATGCTGTATGCCCGGCTCGAGGATAATGCATAGTGCCAGTAGCTGTCCATGATTTTGTCGATGGATCGTATAGTTCAGCACTATTAGTTAAACCACCTGTTACTAATACTTTTCCATTATCTAATACAGATGCCTGATGCCATTTTCGTGCATATTTCATATTAGCAATAGGTGTCCAGCTTTTAGTCGATGGATCATATAACTCAGCACTATTAAGTTGAACACTAAAAAAAAATCTATTCATTTTTGAATGTTTTTATTTTCATAATATGTCTTTCCATTTTTAATTTGTCAGTTAAACAGTGTTTTAAAAATAATCGGTAGTAATAAGAAAAATCTTCTCTAGTATAATCACTCTTAAGATCTAGATTGATTTTAAAGACAACTCAGTGTAATTTTACGTATGTGGTGGTGTTGATCTATGCTATGCAGTTCATAAATATCAAAAATGTATTTTTTCCTATTAATTCCATTCATTCATATTTAAGTTAGGCATGTATCAATGAATTTTCTGAAGATAAAATCGATCAACTGAGAAACGTTTAAGTCTGTTTCATTATGCTCTTTAGTTAGTTTTCTTTCGAATAAAACACTCTTCATAAATCTGATCAACTAAGATCAAATAACTCGATCTATTGATAGTCGAGGATCTATTGTGAGATTAGAAACGCTATCAATGAAAAAAAAATAGACAAAAAGCAAGAACCTACAGTCAGCTAGACGTCAACATATTTATTGTTGATCTCTTCATCGTTTCTCATTGTCGAAGAGCTTTTCATTAAACAAATAAGTATGAAAAAATGGCAAAGGATCGGAAAGAAAATTAATTAACTCATGAGAATCTGTTTATTGTCTATAATTTGAACAGAAAATAATTATAAAAATATTACGATGAACTTTATACTATTGTTTAATCCATGAACTAGTATTCTTAAATGATTATTTCTCCAAGATTTGATGTTACTAGGTGTACTTAAAGATAATAGATTAGATACAAAAGAATCCTTATCAAGAATATTAAAACTCTAATAATATAATTGAATAGAAACAGTTAATCAAAAATAGGGATTGAATGAATCCGAATTAGATAGTTCGAATTTTTATGTGAATGATCTTGGTATTATTTGAAACATCGATAATTCCTTTTTAAAATACTAATAGTCTTTCAAATATGGATTGTTTATTTCTTTCTCTATACATCAATGACAGTAATTTATAGATTCATGTTTTTCTCTTAGTCTTATTATCTTCTATCGACTAGCTGAATATGACTGCAATCTAAATCGAATCCGAATGTTAGTTTGTGTAAATTAAATTATGAAAAAAGACTTGTTAGAAATAAATTCTCATATGAATAGCTTGAATTAACGATTAAGAGTACGTTTCTAACTCATATAAGAAACATATGGGAATACTTCTAAATAGTAGAACGTTCAACGAGATGTTTCTAAAACACAATCTAAATCTTCAAGGTTTATCTAGTAAAGAATATTTTCTTATTTACAATGAAATCTCAATGAACTTACTGATCAATGTGTCCACCAGTAACTAATACCGATCCATTACGTAATACAGATGCAGTATGCTGACTTCTTGGACTATTCATACTACCCGTTGTTGTCCATATTTCAGTTACTGGATCGTATAATTCTGAACTACTCAGGCATTGATAATTATCATGCTCTCCACCTACAACTAACAATTTTCCATCAAGTAATACAGATGCTGAGTGCCACCATCGTTTATGATTCATAGGATTGATAAGTGTCCATGTTGCTGTTGATGGATCGTATAATTCCGCACTTTTCAGTCCAATACCACCAGTAACTAATACTTTTCCGTTTTGTAATACTGATGCTGTATGAGCGATTCGTGGATTGTTCATACTATTTGTTTGAATCCAGTCTAAAAGAGATCACAAATATATTTTAATAATCACTGTACACCGTTGAGTATTAACGTATATAAATTAGTAAATGGAACTATTTTATTTAGGTGAAAATTTCCTTTGATAACTGTTATAACGGTTTTTGAGCGTGTGGGCCTGGGTGTAAGTATAAAGAGACTAAAGTGAATGCAGATTGACTAGCTTATGTGGAAAAGTAACACAGGATAAGTTTGATTTCTTATGAACTCCTCTTTTCTTCAGCAGCGATAGAAATGAAGATTATTGTACAAGTTATTAACGAGACATGAATCGCTGCTGATCAATTAGATCAACTTTGTGAATTATCACCCTAGTTGAGTAACAAGTAACGCTCGGCCGAGGAATAGCTTAGCTCTTTCTCGTAGAAATCCGTTTTCTTCACATTTACTGGAAAAACAAATAAAAAACGTGAAAAATTGGTTTTCAATGTTTTTTTTGACTTTTCACCCACACCCATCCACTCCTAACCGTGATCACCCAACAGACCTCAGATTCAAAGTCTACGCATCAAAATACCTCTAGGAATGTCTTTTTAAAAAAATCAGTTTTCGATGTTTTTTTTGACCCTGCGGACATACAAGCAAACAATTTATGATTACTGGACTCTTCTCTACGAGAAAGAGAATAAAAAATAAAAATTCAATAGAAGACAAATCATATTGTATATGTTATTGAGAAACTGTTGAATGCTTTATAAATAGTCGTCACTCACTTTTATAAAAAGGCTGAACTGTTGATATTTCTGTTGATACTGTTGCTGATGTTTCTAGTGAGATTGCTGTTGATGGTTCTGTTGTTATTGCTGTTGGTGTTGCTGTCGATATTGTTGTTGATAATGTTGTTGTTGATCTTACGTCTGTTGTTGTAGTTTTCTTCTTTGTCAAAATAATACTTGTTGGAATAACAATTACTGCAGCTACTACAACAGCTACAATACCAACAATAATCCACATTAACCGTTTCTTTCCAATAAATCTGTTTTGTAAAAACAATAAAACTTTATTTTTATTTCATGGGAAAAACTAAAGAAATACATACCTTGTTATTGTTTCAGAATTTAATGCCTGATTTTCGTTTGCATTCATGGCTAATAAATAAAATATTTTGCTCGAATAAAATATTTTAAACAACTAGATTTCTTCAAACGTGTATTAATCTTAGTTTAGTTAGGAGAGAATGGGATTTTACAGTTCTCTCACGCTAACATAAAATGAGCATATGTTATTTATCGAGAGTTATCAATGGACTTTCTTTTTAACTACCTCTCTATTTTTTTTTGCTTTTTATTTTTTTAATGATATTAGTTGTTAAAAGGAACTAACAGTGTTTTCATATATGCTAGACACAACGGAAGAAAAACAATTTTTTGGAAAAAATAAAATGCTGAGCATGACGTTTGTTTCAGCCACTACCTTATGTCGTAACATTTTCTCTTTGATATTTGATGAACACGTTTTCTTAATTCATGAAAATCACACTTCAACGTCAGAAAAAAAACACAACATTAAAAAAGAGATA